AGAAAACAACTAATAAAACCACTAAGCTGACTTTTCATGGAAAGCCTAAAGTCTTCTTCATAAGGATTTGCTTTCAATGATCCCGCAGCAATCGATGAGCAAGATGTGCAACTGCAAGTGAAACAAATCTTCTATAGAACAAATAGCAGGTCGCATTCTGAAGTTCTTACCATGTAAGGGGTGGGATTCTGCTCTGCAAAATTCAGAACTCTGTGAACCTGAACGCCATCCAGCCAAACGGGTTCTCCAGATGAAAGAACCAGCTATATAAACCATGTACTGTGGGAATAAGATGGATTCTGTGGAAGCATATTAAATGCAAATGGCTACTATGCAGCCTTCTGTGCAAATCAAGTCCTTAATATAGGGGGGGGAAATACATAGGAATGTGAGCAATGTGGTACACAGATGCTCTTCAAAGAACCATGACATGTTTTTACAGTGCGTGCACAAGCAATGCTGCTCATTTTATTTTCTGAAAACATTCCAACATTTAAGGGAAGTTTCTAAAGGCTCCATAGCAGCAGGATGCTCTAGTTTCAAAGCATGGTGCCAGCACATCTCCAGCTGAAATGTGTGAGGTGTGGGTCAACAGAATCCAGTTGAAACTGACAGCATAATTCTGGGTAATTCTGGGTGCAGGTCTTTGGTTTCCACCAATGGAAGAGTCTTCAGGGCAGGAAACTTAACACAGGCCCATGGCACAAATTTGCATAAAATATGTATATGCTAATTTATATGTAAAAATGAAAATTTCCTTTCAGAGTGAAAATAAAATCTGGCTTTCAATTTGCCAGTGCTTAATTTGCCTTAGTTGGAAGCAGAACTTTGTTATAGGCTCTCTGAGGAAAAAAGATTGATACATGCAACTGTTTATTTAAATACATAACAATTCAACAGCCCAAAGTGTGATGTGATATTGGTGGGGCAATAAAGGCTGGTTGTATAAACCAATAAGCTGACAATATTATTTTCTGGAAAGTAGAGACAGTTGGGAAATATGCCTCAAGGATCATCTCACCCCACATGAACCAACCAGGACCCCAAGATCATCATCTGAGGCCCTTCTCTGTGTGCCCCCTCCATGGATGTTTTGGAGGGTGGCAAAATGAGAGTGGGCCTTTTCAGTGGTGGGCCCCCTGCTTATGGAATGATCTTTCCAGGAAACATGCATACTAAGCATATTTTAATAAAGAATCAGACAGACAAAATTGGTTTGGGGCTATTTCTGTATTGGGTTAACCATATCCGTAAGTTATGCCTTTCTAAAACAAGTCAGCATCCAGTTAACCCTCAGGTTTAAACTGATTTGCTCCCACTGAAGTAAGTGGGACCATAACCAATTTAAATCTAAGCATTCCAGTCTAATTGGGTTAAGCGTTGGATTTCCATGGTGGTACAGCTGGGGTTGCGCAGCTGTTGCAAAGGCTTTTAATACTGCAGACTGCAAAATTGCAGAACACAAACTGACAGACATTTCTACCACCTGCAGGCAGCCCTAATTATCCGGGGTAATAAAGATAAGAGTGACAAGGATTAAATAGATTTGTAACTATTGTATATGTAACTGTTGGCTGCGATCATTCGTTTTTACTCTCTTTGTATGGTCTTTACTAGGCAGGACTCTGTCACCTGCTTGCTTCTCTCTCTCACACACACCCCACTTCTCACCTCATGAACCCCCTTGTCAAATTTCCAATTCTGTTTTTTTGAAGCTATTTCTCTGTTCTATTCTGCAATCCCCCTTTGCACCCATTTTCACCTTCACCTGTGCACCCCATGCCCATGTCTCTTCCTCACCCTTCTTTGTCACAATCCCACACGGACATACATGCCACACACATCCCAGTTACCCCCTCCCACACATTATACCTACTGAGCACCCTTTTCACCTTCTGCCCATTTATGAAGCCACCACACCTCCTATTCTGCATCCCCCTTTGCACCCACACTTTCCTCTCCTTCCTTTCTCACACCCCTAGCTTCATCTTCACCCTTTTTCTCAAGGGTCCTTTTTTCTCAACTCCCCCTTGTACAAACACCTCCATTTCCATGCTGACTCCTTTCCCTTATTCTGCAGCCCTCCCTTTATGACACAAATCATTATCACCAACACCCACTTTTTCCTACTTCCTCCTCCTTTCAACTCTCCTTTGCACATAGGTTAAGGTAAAGGGACCCCTGACCATTAGGTCCAGTCGTGACCGACTCTGGGGTTGCGGCACTCATCTCACTTTACTGGCCGAGGAAGCCGGCGTACAGCTTCCGGGTCATGTGGCCAGCATGACTAAGCCGCTTCTGGCAAACCAGAGCAGCGCACAGAAACGCCGTTTACCTTCCCGCCAGAGCGGTACCTATTTATCTACTTGCACTTTGACGTGCTTTTGAACTGCTAGGTTGGCAGGAGCAGGGACTGAGCAACAGGAGCTCACCCTGTCGCGGGGATTCGAACCGCCGACCTTCTGATCAGCAAGTCCTAGGCTCTGTGGTTTAACCCACAGCACCACCCGCGTCCCTTCCTTTGCACATAGACCAGCCCTATTTCCAGGCCTCCTTCTCTCTCCTATTGTGCAGCCCCCTTTGTACACACACCCTATGTTACTGTATGTTTAAGATGAATAGAATCTGTACTCTTAGAGATCAATTTCAGCTGATGGATGGTGTACATACATGGATGTTTACTTGTTAATGAAATAGCCACTGTAAGCTACTACATAGAATTTGGAACTTCATTTTGAAAACAACACACAGTACCAGGAGTGAAATACATTGTGAAAGTATTATGGAATATTTGAGGGCTCTACACCCTTTATTACTCTCATATGAGGCAGCTGAGAGGGAGAAAGGAGGGACACTGATATTCTGGCCTATTCCTGTTGATTTCTCCCAATGGCCCCACTACAAGTGCCCCCTTTAACCCCATCCATTTCCACCTCCCACCCCCAATTCCAGCTCCTCTCCAGATTTCTTCTCCCCATCACATGTCCTAAAACTCTCTCTCTCTCTCTCTCTCTCTCTCTCTCTCACACACACACACACTCTTAGACACAAACCTATCTTCCTCCCTACTTCCCATATTCCCACACATATTTCGCCTGCCCCTTCACCAATTCCATCTGCCTTTTTTCCTGTCATTGGAGGACTAACACAGAGAGAAACCCTTCTTTCTCAACACCAAACCCTTCCCTTAATCATACCACAGTCATTTGCTACAGACAAGTCTCCCCATTTTTTCTTCCTGCCCCCCCTCCCGCCTTTAGAAACTTGGGAAACAGTAAATGAAAACAGTGTGATAGAAGATTATTGCAAATATAGTATCAAGGGAAACCAGTCCTCATATTCTGCTTGAGATTCCATTTGGACCACCAACTCGGGGTGGATAGATAAGACTGAACATCTCATGAAACCACTTTCTGTTAAAAGATGGTAGGAAAGGCATCAACATTAAGAGGAGGCTTACATATTTGTCTGCAGGGAATATAATTGGAGTCTGCATCCAAATAGAACAAAAGCAGACTTACAGTGAAATCACTATATGTAATCCTTATTGTGGGTGTTGTTGTATTTATGGCTTGCTATGTGTTGATTTTATTCAGATTTTATTCTAGTGTTTGTGAAGTGCCTGGATTTTATTTGTTTTAATGTAAGGTCATATAGAAATGTTTTAAATAAAGAAATGTCTACTGATCCCAATGTAGCTATAAGATTTGGCAAGCAAATCACACCATGTTTTTCTTTTTAAAAAATCATTTGTGAGAAGTTAGACGGTCAGAGGGGAGTCAAGAGGGCAAGAGAAGTTAGTTGGCCCTTCAGTCTCCCCCTGCTCTTGCTGGCTCAGTAAACAGTGTACATGAAATATTTTTAAAGCTCTCTGCCACTTGCTGTTCAACTCTTTGTGTACTGTGTATGCATAGCTCTTTTGTGGCAGACACCGCTAGCCTCATCATGGAGTTGTGACACTGCTGAACTGCTTCATAAAACGCCACTCTCCTGTCATTGATTTTCGTTCATTGAGTGTCACACAGAACAGGAACTAGTTGAGAACAGCACACATAATAGCTCCTTAGAGACACTCTTAACTGGGTTCGACAGATGTGCAGGGGGGTGAGAGAAGTGCTACTGCAGCACCAGTGGACTCTCCCCACACCTATTCACATTCATTAGAGCATCTATTGAGAGCCCCTGTACGTAAAGGTGTACAGGGGGAGACCTCTCTCTGCACAACTGGGAAGGTAGGGTCACTGATTGTGCGGAGACAGGCTTGGCCTTACCATTAGGTAGCATGAGGAGCAGATGTTGTTAGAGGAGAGAACCATGTGTGCTGCATTAACACTGAAAGAGCCTGCTGGACCAGACCAATGGCCCATCTAAACTAAGATATTTAAGTACATATCCAACGTTTCAGTTCGTAGAGTTGGAAGGGACCATGAGGGTCATCTGGTCCAACCTCCTGCAATGCAGGAATCTTCCACCCAATGTGGGGTTCGAACATCCAAATGGAACACAACAGAAGGAAATTATGATACTAATTCTAAAAACAATTAAAATCATCCCAACAAACTCTAAAAACAATTAAAACCATTCTTTAGATGTGCAATTAATATTTCATTCAACCCCGAGATAAAGAGTCTTATACTACCAGGAAACTGGAGCTACCAGTTTTGAAATTAATAGATACTTACACTAACTTGATTTAGATTTTTTTTTAAACTACAACATCCCTTTAAAGACATCTCCCATGTCTTTTTAAAAAAAAGGTATAAAGAGAATGGGGAACCTGTGCCCGTCCCCATTAAACCTGTTGGCTGCCGATGTGTGCTTCAGTGAGTTGCAGTATAAACACTTTAGAAAGCAAAATGTTTTGTGCTTGTCCATTTGTAATGCAAATTGCCACGGGATGGCCACATCAGTGTTGCAATGGTTAAGGAGGAGGACTTGCTCCCATCGTATCTCAGAAGGGATTGATAAGGTTGAAGTAACATAGCAGGGGCTGGAATTAGGTCAAGATAGCTCAGTTGGTAGAGCATGAGACTCTTAATCTCAGGGTCGTGTGTTTCAGCCCCATGTTGGGGAAAAGATTCTTGCATTGCAGGGGACTGGACTAGATGACCCTTGGAGTACCTTCCAACTCTATAATTCTGTAATTCTATGATCTGCAGATCTAAATCAACAGCATTTTCAACAATGACTATTAACGGTAGATTGCAGTGGGGGAGACGGTACTATTAGCAGTGTAACCAGATCAGCTCCATCTGATATTTCAGGGGCTGTGACCAAACTGAAATATAAGCACTGTTGAATTTGCAAACTCTATTGAAGGACACTCAACAGTTTATCTTAATCACTTTTCAAGGCACAAAAGCAGATCTCAATATGAATCTGTTTCCCACATTGTTTCCTCCCAACAGGGTTAGATTTCAGATTTGCCTGGATTAGGCTAAACCCTTGGAATTCCCCATCTGGACGTTAAGGAAGCAAGGCAGGCTTCATTTCAAAGGCTGGCGGCATGCAGTAATTTCTGCCTGGTTTGAGAGGAATGGGACTTTCATTTTTTAAAATCAGTGAATCACTTTTGGTCTTTTACTAAATCCTGTCTCCTGACCCCCCCCATCACCAGTTTTATTACATTTTTCAGCACTCTGGCATACACAATTAAAAAAAAATAATGAACCTTTTATTCTAAATGTTGGTGTATCAGAAGATATAGCACTTAGAGGTTAAAAGAATATGAAAACCAAAATGAATGAACCTAGTTTTCATTCTCACTAACAACTCCATGCCATTGCTTCTGAATAAACTATTTGGTCATTGTTAATAGCTCAGCGAGCTGCAGGTTATTTTCAGTGATCCTTTATAAAAATTGCAGACTTGCATTCCCTGACTCTCATTATTGCTTATGCACTTCTAGTTTAAGCATAAGTTTAAGCATAACTTGCAGCGATGCAATAGAGCCATTAGAAAGTATGGGTAGTCTTCATGCATTGCCAGCACTTTTGGCTTTGGAGTTTGATGTCACACATGGCTACTGAGATGTATAGATTGCCTCAGAGTCTTTTTCTGAAGTCCTGCACTTCATATTCAGGTCAGAACAAAAAAATCTGTCTGAAAAGAATAGTATCTGAAGAAGTGTGCATGCACACGAAAGCTCATACCAATAACTAACTTAGTTGGTCTCTAAGGTAACACTGGAAGGAATTTTTTAATTATTTTGTCTGAAAAGAGTACCTTTAAAACAAACAAACAAACCCTAACATATGATAATTCAAAGGACTAGGTATAATTGGTAAATACAATTCAGAGGTGTTGCTAGATACTTAAAGGACTAGGGGCACAAAAAATTGAAAATTAAGATGATTGTCTGGGGTTCTGACACCATTGTACTTTGCAGTATACCCTAATGCCCCATATGCACCCGTTTAACGCACCACCACCAAAAAAGGGGGGCAGGAGAACTGATACACAGGGGAAGTTCTGCACAAGAGGGTCAAATTTAAGAGGTTGCACAGACCAGACACAGATCAGTTGCACAGATCAGTGCCCTGGTTAGTATCACTGATAGTGGCTGTTGTTACTGCAGAAGTAACCCTAAACCAGCACAAGACCCTGGTTTGCTCTAGATTTCTTAACAATAGTTATGAAATTGGCAACACTAAATCTGTATCACAACCAAATGGTAATATACCGCTGAACATCTCCACATTCTGTCCATCTAAAGCAGTCGTCCTTCTGGTGCCCTCCAGAAGTTTTGGATTATAACTCTCATCATCTCTGACTCCAGGCCGTGCTGGTCAAGGTTGATGAAAGTTGGGAATCTAAAACATCTGTAGAACATCAGCTTGGGAAAGGCTAATATAAATCCTGCTTCGTAACATTAAAGGTCTCATTAGTTTAACAGGTCTCTCATTATTAGTACAAATGACAACACCTGGGTAAAAATGCTACTTCTCTCAAAAAGCAGAAGTGGACTTGACAAACCTCACCCATGCTGCTGAGGCACTTAAGACTGGGAGAGGATTTAATTGGTATTTCTACATATGCCCTCATGAGCTCATGCTAGAGCATAATCCTTCTCAAATACAACAAAGTGATTTCGTTTCAAAACAATGAAATCATGGGTGTAGCTGTGGTTGAAAGGAAAAATAAATGCTGTTGAGTTTTAAGGTGGGCACGGCTTTTGAAAAACTAAAAAATGTACACTGAAGCGCAGTTCCTTCCTGTGAGATGAATAGAGGGTAACAAAAACAAGGAAGAGATGTAACAAATGAAGGGACGACATATAAGTGTGTTTGAATTATCTGGCCTCTCGCTTGTCCTGAAAGAGAGATGTAACAGTTTCACCAGTGTGTGTTTTGTTAGAATTCCAAAGAGGGTTGATGCAAAGGTTCACAGGATCCCACCCCGCTCCTGGAGCACCAATCCTATTGCAATTTTTGTTAAGTGCCTGTTAAGAACTGTAGCAGTTTCACTAAATTCTCCAGATTCCAAGAAATGCAGAAACCAGCATCAGCATTCTGTACAGAGAGCGGGGGATCTGTGGTCCTCCCAGTCAGCATGGCCAATGCTCAGAGATTATGGAGCATGTATGCAGGGGGGTAAAGAGGCAAGCATGTTTACACTTTTCATACAGGGAGTGAAGGCAATCCACTCTCCAAAAAACCTACAAATTTCCAAGATTCTTTAGGAAAATCATGAGAATTAAACTAGTACATATAATGCTGGTATAAGTGTGAATGATCGCAAACATCATTTTATCCCAGCCTTTCTCAAAGTAGCCACATCAGTGTACGTTGTTCTCCCGTTCATATTATCATCGCAACCAGGGCCGGCTCTACCATTTGGCAGAGTGAGACAACCTTCTCAGGCTGCATATGCTGAATGGTGGGGAACAGTGGTGAGGTGTTGGTGGACAGGGATAGTATGACCTACACTTTCCTAGATATCCTCCTATGGTGCAGTGGAGGATGCTGTCCTGTTGCCAGTGTTGAGATAAGATTCAGCTACCAACTGAGTCAGCTTTTGCACATGGAATAGGAGAGCCATTTTGCCCCAGGCAGCAAATTAACTAACTTTGAGATGGGGATTTGAACTTGGATCTGCCCATTCCTAATCCAATATTTTAAACACTACATCACACTGGCTTTTGTTGTCTCTTGTAGAAAGCTTCTCTTTTTTGGAATTTGCCAACACTTAGTACAGTCTTCTGCAAAAACAGAGGACCCCTCCTCCCCAGCCAACCAGACCTTTATTGGCAGACTGTATCAAATTCTAATAAAAGACATCTCCCTTTTAGGTATAAGGTGGGAGAAGTTCAACAGGTGCAGCACATTCAGCAAAAGAACTGAAGTGATGGGGGAAAGCAGCACCATATTAACTTATTCATGGTCCAGGTACATCGTTCAGGACCAGGAGTTGGCAACTCTGCCAAGTAACAGCGGGGGAGTAGAAACAAATGTTCTACCAAAGTATCATCAAGCAAGAAAAACATCAACAGAAGTCCAAGTCTCTATTTAACAAGGGATCAGGCTTCAAAATTCCAGGATGAGTGAGGTTTGTGGCATCTCCAACACTGGTCTCTTGTTGTAAAGAGCTGAATAAGGAACAGATGCCAAAGAGTCATCAGCAGCCAGTGTTGGCTGTATAGTTTTGCTTCTCTAGACATACCGGAAAAGGCACAGCCTGCTTTGGCCACATTCATTAAACCTTTTTTGCTGCCCTAGGCAACTGCCTGCTGTGCTTTGGTGTAGGAACGTGCCCTTGTTGTACTCTGCAGAGCCACAAGATTAGCTTCTTTCATTTGCCTTGACATCTAAGAAAGCTCAAAGCTGAACGACAAATCAAAAAGGCAACATAGTGAATTCATCTAAGGTCTTCCTTAATAGCTGCAAGGAAAATATTAGAGGGTATCCTCACCTCCTAACAGGAGTGCTGCTCTTTGGGGTTTCAACTAGTTTTCCTTCCAAGCAGAGAAGGCCACCCCATACTGCCCCCCCCCCGCAACATTATGTGGCTAGTGAGTGTGCTCAAACATCCATAGATTGTGTGCATGCAGGTACCGTACATATATAGGTGTGCGCAATCTGCCTCCTCTGGGTCTTTCTAAAAGAAGTTTTCAGTATTCAGAGTTTGCTTCATCATGCCAATCCTTTCTGTTTCCCAGTGACCCAGTTTGACCTCATTTGTTGGCACGTACCACCTGTGCTTGGTATTAGAACGTGCAATTAAACATTTCTGTTGCCGTCATGATCTTTCTTGTTCACAGCCATAGCCACAAAGTCCTGTCTTCGTAGGAGCAGGCGGCAATGCCAGTCCTTCCTAAAGCAGCCAGAGAATGCATTGTTCACTTGTGTGGGCACTCATGGCTCAATTCCTGAAGCACTGCTCAGGTGAAATTGCCATCAGGCATCATGCACTGCTGAGCTGCCATACTTTCATTTCAGACATGTTACTTTCAAGGGAGGGAGTCTACAGGCACATGCCTGTGGTATTTTTGTTAGTTCCTCTTGGCACCATGAGTTAAGTAAGCATGATGTGCAGTGATAACATTTTAGGAAACTGCTTACCCGCCCTCCACTAAGCTCCAGGTCCTGACATGAGATCACTGGCATACACCAGAGCCTTTGTGGAGACTTAGCATGGTGTGCCAGGATGTATATGTGAAGTTTGTCTGATTTGTGCAATTCTGGAAACAGATCTACTGTGGGTGAATGCCCAGTGAATTTGTCATAGGTAGCATTTACGTCATCGTTCCCACACTACTCAACAGCCACTGAGATCAAATGCTACGATTCCTCTTGTAGAATGGCTTTTGATCTGGTAGAGAAGTCCACTAATGTAACAGATGGAGATGCAGTTCTTGACTTCCAGCTTCCCCCTGCACCACCCTTCACACTGTTTAAGGGTTCCCCAACCATGTCTGGACCTTCACCCAATCATTGCTGTAATTTCTATGTATTACCTCAATATGGATGTGTAGATTGAGTTCTTTGCAACATTTGTTTCTTTGCATTGTCAGCCACACTGCAAAAGCTCTTTGGCTGCATGGAATGATTTATTATGCAGGATTTCTAAAGGAATG